GTCTATTTACTTGTGTACACGTGATTTGTGACGCTTTTTACAGATGGAGATCCATCCTTATTATGTTGCGTACTGTTTCCTGGAGCTCTTAGACGGCTTTGGTCACTGAACGTTGTGTTCGTAGATCTTCACCTATTAAAAAATGCCACACCTTGCTTGCCGCGGCTGGGAAATGATTTGTTGCGGGTCTGTTTTCGGATGGTCCTGGAGACCTAAGTTGAACCAATTTGTTTTGCAATGCCATTAAATAGAAGAGATATACCCGTCTTGGAAATTCTAAATCCCCGATTTGAAAACATGTTTATGATCTAAGTGTATGAATATTTCGCCGCTTTTGGTAAAGGGTTGTTACGTACCCTTCAGAAAACAGATCAAGTTTCGGTAGCATCACCTACCTTTAAAACAACAATCTCAATATGTAGTTTGATAAATTTCGTTCCACTGCGGCTTTGTCCCATCTATGGTTGTCACGTGACTTGCTGATTCGCATGTTCAAAATCGATTTAATATAACCTGCTCAATCATTTGTATACAGTATCTCTATAATCTTCACTTGTTCCTCCAAGTTTTTATTGTTTGTCCACGACATTACACCAATTAAATTATTTCTTTAAAGACATATTATTTTGGCCATTTTGTCCTAACACTTTGGTGACCAATGGCCTAGTCGTTAAGGCATTTGTTTCGGGATATGGAGGTCGCAAGATCGAGTCCACGCTATATGTTTAATTCCTCCAGTGGCACAGCGATATACCTGACGAGTTACAACGCTAGAAAACGGGTTTCGATACCCGTGGTGGGCTCATTGTTTATCATTTTGCTTAACTACAAACAAACAAACCTGCCATTTTAGTGTACGTATCCATTATCTGTCTTTATGCATAATGTTATAAAAGAAATATTCTTCTAAATTAATGGTTCTTTAAGAAGAAATAAATATAATATTATCCACATTACGTGCCAATCAAATTCTTTACAAGTACAACAAATAAAAGAATGTTTAATAATAATTGTGGGGTTAACTAGGTTCACATAGAAAAGGTAAGACTAAATAAATGTAAAATTGTAATTCGATTTCATATGTTATAGGTGTAGCTTTTGAGTTTAACTTGACTTGAAAACTGCCATCATTATTTTAATTAAGTTGTTAGGCTTATAATAAATGACTGTTGAGTAATATAGAAAAAAAAATAAGCACAAGTGTCTGAATAAATAAACTCATGGGAACTTTAATTAGCTATTTTCAAGTCTGAAAGAAAATATGAACGACTGCAATTAACTATTATTGTTCCAGTTAGTTATATTAAATGTTTTTATCCATCCTCAGAAAGCGAGACCTTGGAAGACTTTGGAATAGCTTTACATCTGATGAGAACAGACCTTGACCACCTGAGAAATGTCTTCAGGGCTGTTGCAACAGACGACGTGGGCATGCTGAAATCTCTTGGCATCCGGGACTCTGAACTTGCTGACGTCAAGTTTTTTCTGGACAAGCTTGTTAGCACAGGCTTTATGGAATAACGGACAACTGCTTTGTCAACTTTTTAAGATACCTTATCCTCCTGTCCTGGCTAGTCAATAAGATTTAATCACTTTATACATTTTGTAAGCACTTGATATTATGCTGAACGAGAACAATTAATATGATGTTATATTCAGTTTACTGGCCAAATTTCAGATTCAAGCCGGTTTTTTTTTTCTTTGTTTTTTTCAGATGTAATGAAGTTATTGAACTAAAACAAAAAATATGCAAAGCTTTAAAACAAGATTTCAATATAAATATTCTGTTTATAATTCTTAACTGAAAGACTGAATTACTTTAAATTGCACTGGTTAATTTTTTTGTGTGCAAATATAAAATATTAAATCCCATAACATTGAGTAATTTGGCCTCGTTTGTCTCTGCTTGAAAAAAGATAAATAGATCTGTAATTAACTGTTTTTTATGAAAACGAAAAACAGAATAAAATTCGGTGCTCCTGTTTAACAACATTTACATTATAATTATTCAGTCTAAAAAAAGCCCCCTAGTGGCATAGCGGTATGTCTGGGGACTTACAACGCTAGAATCCGGGTTTCGATACCCGTGGTGCTCAGAGCACAGATAGTCCATTGTGTAGCTTTATGAATAATTACAAACAAACAGTCTAAAAGAATAAGAGCCAAAGCTTTATTTATTACATAAAAAGTATACATTATGACAGTTCTGTATAAACACATTCATTGATTTTCTGCAAGTTGTACTTATTTCTTTGTTCTTGATATATAAAACAGTATATATTTTAAATTATAAACATTGCAATAGAGTAAATCATATTTGATCAAACGATAATAAGAGATAGTTTGTTTTATATGTAGTCTATTCAACAGTTATATAAAGACGATAGAAGGACGATGTTTATTAACCAATATATATACACCTGTTTCATTCAGTATTTCGTATTGTTTCGAAAAATAAAATATTAGCTTTAACATATAACAAAATATTTTATTTGGACTTATATTAATTCTTAAATAGATATGTACATTTTTTATTAACTTGAACGTTTATGTTACCTTTGGAAAGCTTACCGTCGTAGTCCTGTGCTGATGTAATGGTTGGTAATATGTATGTTCGTTATAGACAATGAAATATAGAAATGAATTTTAAAACATTCATAATCTGTATTCGTTTTTCATTCAGTTACAGTTACTAAGTTTTCTCTTTTTCAGACCATAGAACTAATTACCAAATAACAAATATATTAGTACAAAAAATAGATCTGCGAACGTTTGTACAAATATACCTATTACTCAAATTAATTTACACACTTGAAGTTGAAAAGGAGACAAAAACCTAGCATCCACTTTACATGGTTAAAAATAGCTCTCCTGTATTTAGATCCTTTTCAATATGAGCTTACAATGATGGTCACTTGAGAATCAAAGTACGATTTTTTTTTACAAAGCTAGACCCGTCTTAAACTTTCCTCAGAGACAGCAACTTACTTTTACCATTATTTCTAAAATCTTGCCGTCATATCACTTAGAACATAAAAACTTTATGTTTAAGAATACTTATTAAGCCTAACATTTATAAGACCCATTTTACGTTTAACAGCAGTACGTTTAATTCAGTAGTGTGCTAATACAGATTCTGATCTCATTTGTGTTCATTGTGGAACTAAACACAAATTAACCGGTAAATAAACACCAGATTTATATTTTTTTTATGGAAAGTGACCAAAAACGATACTAACCTTTATAAGTCCAAAGATCTGAAAATTTAGACTCAATGTTTTCTACTGACAAACAACCAACAAAAGAATTGTGAATAAAACCAAATGAAGAGGAGTAAATACTGATGTGCTTTCTTCTTTGAATTATGTTTATCTTAATCTACCAAGGAAATGAATAGAGTTATAACTATAATTATTTTTAATCATACTTATGTTTATCAAAACATATCGAAATATTCATCGTGCCTGAAGCGATATTGTTGTTACAGAATAAGCCACATTTTAAGGCTTGCTCTTGAGACGTAATTCGTTTTTCGCTACAAATAGTAATCTTTACAGAAGAAACAGATGTTAATCAGTAATACTCAACAGTTAATAAAGGAATGAGAAATTTTTCTTATAAGTTCACGTTAAAATAGAATAGATTTTGTTATTGTTTTATTTTAATATAACCAGTTCTCTTAAGAAAGTGGTAGCAAAAATTAAAACGAAACTCAACCGGTACTATAAGACTAATGCAATAAATTAACGATTCATGAGAATAACAATAATCTACTTTATTTGCTGCGATTAAGGATTTTGTAATTTAACAAGATCCCCGAGTTCTTTTTCGAATAAAAAGGGTATTTAACTTTCCAATAACTGCATGCTTAGGATCATGCGATACCGACAAACGATTCGTTGGTCAAACAGAGAATCCTGTGGAAAAAGTTTTATCTTCAGAAGTGATCAAATTGTTAATTACAAATGAAATAATAAGATTTTTACCGCCAAATAAATGGAAAAAATAGAATGCTTAACTCCAGAAACAATTTTCTGTATATATATATATATATTTGTCTTTTACTTGCTTTACAACAGAACAACTGCGAGTCTTGATTGATAAAGACTTAGAAGTCTTTAAACTACAATATTTCAAAGTCACAAGTACAATAAAATGAGGAACAAATACAAGTAAGGAATCCTTCCTCAACATAGAACGTTAAGTACGATGCATAATTTCATCATAACATTTCGATAAATGACTGGTGTGCTATTAGGAACCCCAATGTGTTAAAAGCATTAGTCTAGAAGTCGAAGATCATCCGTCTTGAGAACACCCAAGAAAGATAGAAATCAAAGTCCATTGAGTACGGTCTACATGCAGAAAGGTAAAGAACTGTCTCTCTGAACATCTCGTTAAACAGTTTAAAACCTGTCATTAACGGGTAGCAGATAGTCAACCCTGTAGCTGTTATTCTTTGGTAAAAGCATTATGTTACTAAAAGCCAATATCACTGACAGTTGCCAGTTTGTACAATGATGCTGCTAACAGCATGAATATTGACCCATATTCAAAATATGTTTCGTTCTTAACATTACTCATGCATATAGACCGTACCTGCCCGATGTTTAGTAGTGGACGATGTTTCTACATTCCTAAACTATTTCTGAAATAATACTTATATGCTATTTTGAAACATTTTAGATATATAGGCAAACTAACATAATCGTGTCTATTAAATGTATCAACAATTTTTGAAAAAACAGCTGTCATTTCTTGAAAAAGCATAACAAAAAAATTATAAATTTAATGTCAAAAATGAAACCTTTCCTGTTTGGTAGATTTCTAATTAGAAATGTTTTGTTCTTGTTGTTTTCTTTTAAAAAACTTCTTTAAACGGTAACCAAATTAAACGCGTTTCGTATTACAATAAATATGACTCCAGATCTCTGATAGATATACAGACATGAATATATATATATATATATATATATATATGTGTGTGTGTA